AAAAGAGTATTTCATATGCCAGGTAAAGTCCCAGTTTCAGTTCAGCTATAAAAGCTAAAATATGTTACCTGTCCTTACAGACACAGTAGGCCACAGCGTAGCATATGGTCTGTTACAGCTCCTGAGGTTTTTAATTATTACTTACACGGGCAAAGCTACTTCCAGCTGAGCATCTGCTGCCTCTTACATCCATGACAGAAGATGTGCAGTATGCGTGGTCCAACCAGATCCAGTGCTGTATAAACATCAACTTAAGCCATAACCGTGCTGCAAGCATTGCTGCCCCATAGGTATAGCAAATTCTCTGTTGCTTAATGATAAAAGTACCTTCTCACACAGAAAACTAGTTAACATATTTTAGGAAACAATAAGGGATCCAAAGAAATATTTAGTGAGTCTTAAACCAGCAAACTAAAGCAGCTGCCCTAGGATATACCCCACAAACAAGTCAAACAGGACAGTCCTAGTATTAAGCAAACACTAAGCCATCGAGATGAGTATCAAGCTTTATAGCAGCCATACCCTAGCAACAGAAGCAACATTTATCCACGTCTTTTATTCAACTTCTTAAAATGCAGACCTTTCTTTCCCTCTCCCCTTTCTACTTCCCCCTTTCACCTGCCCCCCACCACAAACGCAGCAGCTCTCGGGACATGAAGTGCTGGGGTTTTGGAGGCACTGTGAAAAGGGACACAAGGAACAAGGCTGGTAACTAAGGGTGTACGGAAGTCCCTACAGCGCAGGTTTCGTAGCAGGGAGATGAGGAATGGCCACATGAGAACAGAGACAGCTTTTAACTTGCGTACAACAATTTGGGGAAGGAAAAAATGCAGGTGAGATACAGGATGTTCACATCATTACTGCTAGTAGGGCACTGAGCTGGAGAGGCAGTGCTTGGGGGATGCCAGAGTGTGGGAAGATGTGCATGTTTGTGGGGTTGTGAACAGGAGTTGGCCACTACTGCAGAAAGTGAGAAGAGAGCTCTGAATCTGAAATGCTTCAGAAACTGCCACAGCAATTTCGACTCCATGGAGGTTTCAGTGGATAACAAAGGAAACTTCCTAAATGGCACAGGAAAAGCCACATCTCTTCATTGACTGACTGAACGGTGTTAAAAAGGCATGAAAAAGGACAAGACATACCTCTTTGTGATACCAGCACATGCAAACAAATCCAGTTCTGTCGAAAGGAAGTGGCACATGATCACCGTGAATTAAAGCTTTTATTGCTTCGAAGCAGAAACAGATATATAATTTATGTGCCTTCATGCATGTAGGTATAATAAATACAACCCTCAGGAGGAAAGCACGAACTACTATCCCTGTTAAAAAGTTCATTTTTTAATTAAATTTCAAAACAAGCAGGGAAGTTGTAGAAAATACTGCAGCATAAGCAATTTTTTTATATAATGTAACAGTTGAGAAGAAAACACTGGGTCTTAAAAAAATTTTTGCCCCCTTTGAAGTCAGTTGGAAAGTTTTCTTTTCATTTAAAGAAAAACTAATAAACAAGTAGTTTCTTGGTAACACCATATACCAGCTGGAATTCCAATGGGGTTATGAGGCAATGAAAGTAAAACCTTGAAGAAAAATAAATTTATGTTTTTTCCTGAGTGTGCCAGGGGAGGTTTAGATTGTGTATTAGGAAAAAATTCTTCACTGAAAGGGTTATCAAGCACTAGAACAGGCTGCCCAGGAAACTGGTGGAGTCACCATCCCTGAAGGTACGTAACAGACGTGCAGATGTGGCACTTAAGGACATGGTTTAGTGGTAACTTGGCAGTGCTAGGTTTATGGTTGGACTTGATGATCTTAAAGGTCTCTTCCAACCAAAACGATTCTATGATCCTACAGTTCTATGATTCTACTTTTAATTTGAAAGCTTTCTAAACAAAAGGTGTGGTGGGGTTGTGTTCTTAATTTGAAAAATTTCTAGAATTGTCTTTTTTCTTAAACTTTGTTTTACAGATGATGAAAACATGGAGACTTAACAGTGCCCACCTTTGTAAAACTTTTACATGGGTTCATTTGTTCAAAAGCATGCTATCCATGTCACCAGCTCCCCAAAGCATGACATAGTGGCACGCAGAAGGCAGATTTCATTTTGGTAGCAATATTTGGAAGTAGAAAGTGGACAAGGACAAAGGACCAAATGTTAGAAGCAAACACATTCCTTTCTTTTTAATCAATACCTTGTTAAACTGCTGGGTTTCACTCATTAATCTTTTGGTAAGTGAAAAATGAAACAGATTGACCATTACAGCAAAAAATAAAATTGCAAATTAAACTCATTCTAATGAAATTGCTTGCAAAGAGTGCTACTTCATCACACACAACTTCCATCAAAAGACCTTGGACTTCAGAGTACCTATTTCTTTGAGGTATTTAGAGGTAAATTCTGAATCCAAAAGACCTGAAAACAAACTTTCTAAAGTCTTTCTCTTACCTCATGTATATTTTTAAAGCCATGCAAGTTCCACCAAAAAAAAAAAAAATTAAAAGTACTGTATTTTGTGTTTAATAGCTTCAAACAAATCTGAAATTGAACTTCATGTGACTGCTATGTTGCATCTAAATGATCACTGTATTATAGCTGAGATGGGGCATGCAAAAGCCTCAAAAAATAAAATGCCTGGAGATTTGCAATGAATTCTTTTTCATTTCTTCAGCAACTGCTGTATAGCGATTGATCTAGTATTGTACAACACAGGAAATTAGCAATTAAAGGCTTTCATTCATCCAGCATTAGATCCTACAAATCCTGTTAACCACAGGAGCAAAATTAAAAGAACAAGAGGAATGAACAAAACTAAAAAGTGCTTATTGTAAGCTGTGTGGAATTTGTCCTTTGCTGAAAAACATGAGAACTCGGCACAGATTGCACGCACAAGAGTATTTAATGTAGGATTATAACTCAATTAAAACAACTGTTTCTCTGATCCTGTAATTCTAAGGCATTTTGCAGATGTCTGTGAATCCCAGGCTGTAATACAAATTTCTTTCTGTTCTCCATAATATAAACTCATATTTTAAGAAAAGACACATTTAGTCTTCTGTCTAGGAAAATAATCTTCACAATATAGGTCAAAAGATACACTACTGTTCTAGATGAATCTAAAATAAGATAAACTAAATGAACACATACAACATTAAATGTGAACATCATCCGTATATATAAATACAGCATTAACAATAAAGCCTAACTGATTCCCTTGTTTCCTTAAGGAATGCTTGGACCATGTCCCAGAGCACGGGGGAACCAGATTCCCAGCCCAGCACGAGCCATGCCAACCCCAGAACTGGAGGCAGTGTCACGCACAAGGCTGCGCACACAAGTTGCACAAGACTGCATCTTCAGACTCCAAGCTAGCCTGGAGATTGCTGCGCTGTGCTTCACTACAGGAATAAACATGCCCTTTCTCTGCTCCAACATGAACAAAAGTGCATCTACACTATCATTAATCATATGAGACTGTTTTGCTTCAGATTTGTCAAAACTAATTCAGGTTTGCTGAATTTCATGACAGATACAGGATTTATCTAGACCGGGAGAAGAGAAAAAGGTTATATAAACTTTGCTAACATAGCCGGCCAATTAAATTGTTAATCCATGCCTAAACAAAAGGTCACCATTAGCTCAGGGTTAACTAAAACTTCTTAGGTAATCTCTGACCTAATTTTGACCTCTCTTGTTAATTGCAGAAATGCTTTCGGTTAATATATTGGTTAGCTGAGTTTACACCCCCCACTTCTGTAGTTTCTTGCCTTGCAGCTCATAAATTAAAGACAAAATATCTTTTTCTAAGACTAATTAGTACCCAATTAGCTCCATGTTGTTACCTAGAGTAGAACCTATAGTAAAAACAAGCGTTACGCATTTTAATCTATTTCATGAAGGAGGCAACTATGAACATGAAGAAAGGAACATCAAAACCTTTATTTCTTTTTTTTCTTCCAGATCATAAAATATTACTTCACAAAGCTTGTAAAAATACCCAATTCTTCTGCTTCTAGCGATTCCCATTAGAAAGAGGTACAGTTATATCACTGTTAGAAAATCTAATTAAAGAACACATGTAAATCTAACGAATCTGAAATCACATTAGTAGGTTGCATCCAGACATAGTCATTTGTCGTTGCATCATAATTCTTTACAGAGGGCTTGTTTAATTCCTTTAGTATCAAAACCATTGTACATCAGGGTATGGGTATGATGCATCCATATCCATAAAATGTTCCCTTCTTCAGAAGAGTAGTTTTTGCTCAAGTAAAAGTGAAGCACCTGAGTTATAATTCCAAAAATCATTTCTCCACATTCACTTTTTTTTTTTTTTTTAAATTGGAAGTGTTCAGGTTCTGATAAAAACATAAGTGGGCTCAACTTACAATTAAGTCTGAGAGACAAACTAAACACAACTGCATTGTAAAATGTATACAAATTTACGAAAAGGAATTCTAATAATGTAAGAAATAAAAATCTCAAAGTTAAAAAGAACTATACAAATAGCATGCCTTATGTTCACCTGAACTAAGCAATATAGGAATTACAGTTTGAAAACCTACTGTAATTAGATACTAAAGTTAAAATACTCAGCAGAAATTCAATATACTTCTAAATGCTGAAGCCTTACCGTTCCATCACATTCATGTATCCTTGTCTTTTTGTACTGATAAAAGCTCCTCCAAAGTAAATTTATCCAGTTATATTGAGGATCATACTTGTCACCCAAGAGATAACATAACTCTAAATTATGCTCAGAATTTTCTTCTTTTCTATAGGAAATGAGAATGATCTTCTATCATCTGAACAAAGGCACCTGGCCTACTGCAAAAATGAAAAAGCTTGATCATTATTGTTTGTCACATCGGTAGATAAACTCTTGCCTATGAAGGGCCTAAAAGTTGTTTTATTACAGTACAGTCAACCGTTTGGATCAAATCCAGATTCATATTCATTTGCTAGCTGCAAATACATCCCACTGTACTGTCAGTACAGTTTTCTTATATTTTAACATTATTCACCAGAAGCTCCATTCTTCTGAGTTTGCGCTTATTCTTTGGCATTGGCTTGTCATATAAGCCATTTTTGAGAAGATGCTCCTTGCTGTGGTGGATCTGGGCACCATGCTGAAGCTGGAAAGCACATAAAGCTTGAAGTGGACGGAGTACAGTCTGCAGAAAGATGACGGGGTGGGGAGAGACAAAAACCCAAACTTTTAGTAAGCTATTTTAGAGACATCAATTATTCCAGGTTTTATATTCAAGGACTATTTAAAAATGCTGATAAAATATAATTTGGATGATAAATGCTGATAAAATACAACCTTTGGAGACACAGACGGCACAGCTGAATCAAAGATGTAATAAAAAGAAGCCATATAACAGACATAGCCACGTAGCACATAGCCACATATATATCCACCTGCCTGCTGTCATGCCTTACTCCTTCCGCAGACCCACTCAATCCTGACTTCAGCCCCAGCTACATTACTATAAGTTATAGCTTTGACTTGACCTTAGCAATTAATTGCTAGAATTAATTACTGTGGCTCTGCCAACAAGCTGTAATAAAACAAGTAACAATAACTAAGCTGTTTGTGCTTGCATGTAAATACCTTGAGGCAGGGCTTTAGAAAGAGAGGAGGGACTCATGATCAAGGCAGCCAGACTGCTATCCTGGAGAATGGACTGTATCCCTGCTTCTTCCCAGCGATATCATGTAGGACTAATGAAGCCACACAAACCAAATTCATCTCAAGTGGTTCCTAATTGTAGGTTCTTCATTTGCCGGTTGCCTGACTCAGTATCACAGGGCCTTATGTGCAGATGTGTAAAGCACTCACAAATGTAACCGCAGTCAGCAGGAGCTGAGTCTCTACCGAGTGAAATGTGACTCTTTGAGCACACAGGACAATCAAGTGACTTATACCGGGGATCAAACTAAGTGCCCATTTTTAACTTCCACAGCTCTCAACTTCAGTTAACCATCTTATATGCTGGGAATAGCACTCACTTAATTCAGAGAGGGTATAAAAAACATGGATGTTTATGAAGCTCTTAGCTACCGCAACATTTACAGAAGCACCTTTGAGAAACTGGTAATTTTTATTTTGAAAAGTAGGCTGGGCCAATTCTGAATGGTAGGGATGAAAAAATATAGGACTGGGAATTGTAGATACCAACAAAACGCTCACCCTGGATCTGATTAAGTCAGAAGTCCTAATGAAAGAAAAATGTGCCAACATTGTCCTAGCACATCAAAGAAAAAAGTAAATATACAAAACCCACTTTAATTTCAGTATTTCTAATTTTTCATGGGCTTAATTTCTACAATAAATAAGTACTTTCTTTTAGCATAAAAGCATATGATAGCCGCACTGTCATAAAAGATACACAATTTTCTAGAAGAGTCTCTTTATGCTGAGTTCCAATTTCTGAGCCATATGTTTTTGTGTGGCCACATACTTTGTCCTAGTCTGGTTCTGAATGCAATTGATTTAATGTCTAGTGTCACAGAAGTAGACACAGGACTGGCATACTCTACACTATGCCAATTGCAGAAGGAATTTTTGGCCTGGGAAGCCTTTTTAGTAGTTGTAGGTCAGGTACCAAAATATTCATTATCTGATAGAGAGGGATATGAGCATCCCAGGGTGGACACTAGAATGTAGTGAATACATAGATGGATGAGCTTTAAATCTTTTCTCACACACCCTTCTGTACTGCATTCTGGGCACACAATCAGATTGCAGACCTGGGTCTATGGTGAGAAACTACTTGTAGGTCTTTTTCAAATGGCTTATTAAATTGGTATCACTAATGTCAGCAACAAAAGATTAAGAACGACATTATCTTATAACCTCTTCCATCACAGACTAGTGGGATCACAAGATGCAAGGAAAAGGCTAATGTCCAATTAGTATTCTTTGACCTGGGATAAACTTAAATTCAAGAACTGTTAAGTCCCAAATTTCTCCAATGACACATAAGAGTTGTGAGCTGGCTGGCAGGAAGACAAAACCCAGTGGGTTGCATTCCACTGCTGCAGGAGTGCAGGAGGTCAGTGGGACAGGCTTACAAAAGCATTTTATCTTTGAGCTAGCTGTGAGGGGGCATTCAGATCATCTCTGCTATCTATTTTTTGCAGAAAACAACTTACTGCTTTCCATGCAATAATATACTCAATTGCTTGTCTCAAACTGGATCAGCTTTTGGGATTTTGAGAGTCAAACATGTGCACCTTGATGTGCTTTCACTTCAGAGGATCATTTAAAAATACTGCTATATTAAAAAAAGATAATGGTTATTTGACTCCAGTAAATATTCCGAGACCAACACATGCTAAAAAGGAAATTAATCCTACCTGACTGCTAACTAAATGAAACTTTTTAGAGTCTAGGATCAGTTATTCTGGATGACATTTGTCAGCCCAGTAATTTTAAATTCAGATCATAACTGAAGAAGTCAACCATAAATTTAAAGGTAGTTAAATACTTTATCATCCTGTGTAAGAGAGACAGAAACTTTACTGACAATAATCTCCAAATTTTCTCAAGTTTTTCACATCTTGGAAATACTTTTCCTTTTCAACAAGTTGTATCCAAAGGTATTTTACAAATTCCCAAGAACCTTAGCTGATAGTACCTGAAGTAATACTATTCCCCACTACTAGAATATGAAGAGACTGGTGAAAATATCGGAATGTTTCAATGACAACTGTGTTCTCAATTGAAGTAAATAAACATTTTCAGGTGCCTATACACATACACTGCCTCCTAACATCTATTATAGGATGTACAATTTAAAATTAATAAACTCTCCTGTCGTTAAGCAGCTTCAGGTTTTATCTGCTATCAGGAAAAAGCACAAGTAAGTCATGGGCACAAAGCCTTCAAGACACAGCAGAAAAATTTAATTCCGAACACTGCTTGCCACATTATTCAGTACCAATGAATCACTAATCAACTAAATAATCACCATGCTTCTCTGGCTTCATGAAAATTAGACATCAGAGTGATTATAGGCTATAATCTCTGCCAAGTTTACTATTATCTTCCTTTGCTACAAAATACTGATCATACTTTAGAGTGAGTATAACTTTGGTAACATAAGAGTGCAACATGTACATTCCATACATTACACCAACTGAACAGTTTTTAAGAGTTAACTGTTAATTACAGTTATTGAACATAGTACATAAAACAAAGTAGCTTTCAATACACTATAGTTAAGAAATACCCAAAAGAAAACTGTTTTTAAAATAAAAAATCAATCTAGTGTGTTACATTTTTACAATTTAGCATCCTACATGTGCCTGGTACACAGTCTATGTTTTGAAGGTTTGCAGTAAGAAATGTCAAGTGAACTCAGAAAAACATCACAGGAAGCAGTAACAGTCATCTCTGCACTATTTGCCCTGCAATAAACACATTAGTACTTCTATTTGGTTTGGGCTAAATCCACAACTGTCATCTCTACATATTTTTATTCTGTATTTTGGCAAGCACAACATTTAGGCCTTATAAACCAACTTTTAAAAAAAGTACAGGTGAAGAGAATCTGAGTCACTCATCATATTTAGAATTACAGGAAGAAGTGTGCAAGGAAGTAGTACAGGATGAAAGAATGTGCTGGGAAAGAAGAATGAGGTAGAAGGAAAGAAGGAACTGGAAGACATGAGGGCTGATGAGTTAAAAATGCATAAAAGGTACAAGAGAGAAACAGTAAACACAAAAGACAAATGGAAAAAAGAGGGAAGAAGAAAAGCTAGATGTTTGAGTAACAAATACAGGAAAAATTTCAAATCCTGTGACAAATTAACCTGAAGACTGCCCAGTGAAAAATTGTAAGAGTGCAAGTACCTGCAGAAAGCACTACACAACTAAAGAAAGAGAAAAAAAAAAAAAACCACCAAGGAAAAAAAGAGAAATTGAGGACCTGGGCTGGGAAGGTTGCAGCTGTTTTCAATAATCAATCTATTACTCCATAGACAAATGGGTTGCCGCTGTGCAACTGGTCTGTAAGATATGCAGTCCGCATTCAGCCTTGATGGACGTTGCAACACCAAATACAATCTGTTACAGTTCCAGTATTAACTGGCACTTTCAACGTAATCAAAGCAAGATTTTTAGCCCTGAATCTTGCCCAGCTTTATCTTCAGACAACTCTTTGCGGCAAATGTGCCAACCTAATTCCATTATGGGATAGAACAAAAAATACAGTACTAGAATTTAACATATTGAAAAGAGGAATCGCAAAACAATCATTCAAGACCTTCGTAACATAACAAGTACCCTCAGCAATCCGACAGCGATGTTGAATAAAGAGCAGGAAAACTATAGAAACAAGAAAGAGTCACAGTAATCTGAACGTACTAGAGTTAATAAATATCTGAAGAAAAACAGTTGTTATTGGTACATTCTTGTTTTAGTTTGCTATGCAACAAAACCGTTACAATGTCGTTAAGATTTTTTACTGTCCAATGTGACATTACAAGCTAAGTACATTTGCTGCCCCTCTACTATTCGTAAAAGAAAAACTCAGGTGTTTAAAATTACATACCTCTTGTATACTCTTATTTTTTTCCATGATAGTAAGAGCAACAGCTGCACATTCAAGTGTAGACAGACAGGTGTTTGTTGGCTGCGTACGAATTACATATTGACTTGAAATGTTGGTTTTTAACTGCACCTGAAAAATAGCAAACTCTACAAACATAAGCAAAACACAGCCCCTTCCCCTCTGTAGTAAGTTGTCTTTTTTCCTTTTTGCTGTTTTGTCTCACAGTATCCAATGACCTTATGCTACTGTTAAGCATAATACTATCATACCTGTGTGTCACCATCAGAGACTGCATAGTAGTTACTGTACAAATACATAAAGAAAATACAATTGTTTGTAACAGAGAGACTGAGTGAAATTTTAGCAACCAATTTCAGTTGCCAAAGGTGTCCCATAACAAAAATAAAATTATTCACCTATGCCTGTTTTATTACACACTCTAAACACACACACACATGATCCCATACAAGGTACAGTGACTGTATAGTCACTGACCCTATTTACCTTGGTTAAATATTATTTGTCAAATTCTGAATGAAAAAATTCTAGAAATTAGACTTATTCATATAATGTACTGGGTCACCGATTAGAAGTACTTGCTTACCTAAATCATGTTTGAAAATGATTTATTGGTTCTGTCTCAAGTGATAACCACTCTATATTATCTCACAAGTTAAAGGTTTTTAAGAAAAAGAAATTTAATTCAACCACTACACTGCCTGTTTTATCAGCTCCAAAAGCTTTTACTAAGTCTATAAAAAGCGGCTGAAACATCATAGAATTTACATTATTAGACCTTGTGTGAAAATTCAGATTTTATTCCTTTATTCCTAAAATTTCCATCTCTATGTATGTTTAAAATATAATTTGCCAAACAAGTTAATGTTTTAGCCAAGAACATTTGGTAAGTTCTTAACCAAAAATTATCACTTCCTCTTCCAAAAAAATGTAGTACAGTACAATAAAGGAATTATTATAAAAAGAGCAATATTATTATAAAAGAGCAAGTAATTATTTTTTTTTTAAATCTCAGCCCAACAACAGTCTTTTATTTTTCCTTCTTCCCCAAAAAATGAGTAACTGTTCCCCATGGCCATCATAATATTGGTCCCATTCTGCTTCCAAAAGGTTTTTCAGCATTCCTCACTTCATTCAGTACTTTCCCTTTTCACTTCTCCCATTTTTGCTTTTATTTGTAATGCTTCATTTTCCTTCACCTCTTTTACATGCAGTCACCCATTCTTAAAAGCTCAAGAGATCTCATGTATAAAAGGGAAACTCCAAGCTGCTGAAGAAATGTGAATGAATAAGATCAAATTACAATGCTTTATCTGATCGCAATGTAGTGGGAATTAAAAATAAATGAATAAAAAGAAGAAGCACAAGAGAAGAGGAAAGCCATTCTGGACAGGACAAATAAGTTAGTTATAAAAGCTCAATATACTCAAACATAGGAAAAGACCTATTTTACCTTTGTGACAGAAAGTCCTAATTTGTTTATTAAAGGAAACTTTTTTTTTTAAAAATTATAATCTTGTTATTGGGTAAGCTTGAAGGACCAAAACATGCACATTTCAGAATGTTTTAAAAGTTTCCATCAATGATTGTTTAGATAGTTTGGAAAGATCACTTTCAACAGCCAAAGAATACATCTTGGGTTGAGAAATTGAGAACATGAATGCATGTTAGTTATGTACAGAATACAGCATACTAGCATTATGATTTTTGCATTATATAAAAATACATTTGTATGCTTTTCACAACTGTAATATTGGAGGTGTCATTTTAATGACATAATTTTAAAATCACATCTTCCAAAATCCATTTTGTCCCCTTGAGTGAAGATCGATGCTTTTACTATTTTAGGGCTGCTTACCACAATAATTACCTGGAGTGCATTGTATTTTTAATCAGGTCATAAAATTACCAACTGTCAATTGAACTGAAAATGTACTAGTGGTCTCAAAGCACATAGAAATGTATCTTTCCTAAACATACTTACTATTCTCAGATATTTGAAAGCAATGGTTATGGGTGATAATACACAGAGTTATTTCCTGCAAATTCAATGGTCATCTCCACTTAAAACTCATTTTCATTTTCTGCAGCTATTCAGCATACTTCTGCAAATGAATTGGCATGATGTATGACAAATTATTCAATGAATGCCTATTACTTACTACAAAGTCGAACCTGATATGTTATATTTAAAGCCAAGATAGCTGGAGTAGTTGATTATTCCATGTCTGCCAACTCAGGGTCTTCAGTCTCTAGCTCTGTATTCTGACTGTCAAAAAAAAATAATTTATACCTAGCACCTCATTAGCAGATTATGCTTGCTATTACACTGTACTGGAAGCCTATCATACAATCCTTAATTTATAGTCATACTGTAAAATTTTTATTTACTGTATGAAAGATGTTAACAGTTACTTGGATATTCAACAGCAAATTCAGTACACGTGCTGGGGAACAGATCCAGGGTAGATCCAAGAATGAAGCTAGTGGATACATACTGGCCTTTATCAATTACCTTTTTCAATTTGGTACTGAAAAATCAAAAGAGAATAAATTGAGTTAGGAGAGAAAATGTAGAATTTGGACACCAGTGTATGTAGTGAAATAAAAAAATAAAAAAAAAAAAATTAAATTAGGATTTTCATTTTTTGTTCCTCAAGGTTTGCTCTGTTTTTATGCTCCCTTCACTGGGACCATTTATGGATCCCCATCATGACAGAGTAGGAAGGTGAGTTATTTCAAGCATACAGAGATCTATGCTGGAGGGAGCTTTTAGTCCTTACTTAGAACTTCCTAGACAGATATTAAAAACTAGGGTAAACTCAGTCCATTGTTTCTCCAGCAGGTATCCTGAGCAGCAGAGCAGGCACACATCCACACTTTTTCTCAACAGCGACAGCCACATACTTCACAGAGTCTCTCCACAGAGGCTGAAAGAAACCACCTCATGGACTACCTGCAGGGACACCGGCTTCCCCTTCCCCTTCCTCAGACACAGACACCAGTGCCTGAAGACTTCTTTTTTTTTTTTTGTAAGAGCTTGGAATAGTTCTGTCTGCTGGTTTCTATACTTCAATTCTTGGGGCTCATGCTGAAAAGCTTTTAAGATCATCAGCCTTCCAGAAACAGGAAAAATATTCACGATTGCAAGACAACTTCTACAGAAGAAAAGCTGCCTGCACTCCACCTTACACTGTGGAGCCAACAAGTCTGTAAGCTCTCAAATGGCTGACAATATACAAAAGGGCAACTTTCTAACAGCAACAACAGCAGCAGCCAAATTTCTTCTTTTCTGGGAAGAGTGAGAGAGGATGGAAACAAGTGGTTCCCACCCGTTTTTCTGAAAAATTACATATTCCGTGGGGTGAGATGAAAATACAAACAGACAGCACAGTGCTGGACGTCAGAGGAAGACCACCTGACCAGGACAACACCCTGCTACAGTTTGTCTCTTAGGCTCCTTTCAACAACCATGCATTTTACCCTACTCTTTACTCCAGAGCAGCACAGTATCTAAATAAGTGATCCTTAGTCTCCTGAAATACAGTCAGGGTAGCCTTTGTCTGTCACAAATTGCACAGACTCACCAAAGGACTGATTGGCTACCAGAAAATAGGTACACTTACTGACTGCATAAAACATACAATAAGGAGTTTGTACCACATCAGAGCATAAACTGAATGGGTAAGACAAAGCCAAAACAGTAGAGAAAACAAAACTAATTAATATAGTTAATACATACTTCAGACATGGGAAGAATATCTTCTTGAAAAAAAATTGCCTAGATATATGAAATATTAACTGTTCTCATATATGATTGGGTAGGGGGATGACTTCTCTCATTTTCAGCCAACAAGTCTAAAACTTGCCTTATCTTTTGTGGAGTTAATAGTTTTAGGTAGGGTATCGCACCAGTCTTACCAAAGCTTCCCCACTACCTAGGTGGATTCATTCTTTGTCTGTCACTTGCGACTCTTCAAATCCAGCTGAACAAGCTTAATTCAAAATTATGGAAATGTTCCTCCATAGTTAATGTAAAAAAAATTAGATTGTCTACCCTTTACAGTACACTTTAAAAACTCAGAATGAGTATACATAAATACCCTACTTAAGTACATTTCAAAACAGCAATCATGATATTTTACAACCACTTCTCCATAAAATGGTAGAGATAGCATGATACAACAATTTACTTTTTTTTTTTTTTAAGCTGTCAAAGTAACTTGCAAATCATATGCTTACTTTGGTATAATTTCAGTTACTAACAAAATACAGCAATGTCAAGCTGAAAAAACAGCAGCCTATTTAACACCACTCACCAGAATAAACAATCCCATAAGACAGAAGATGGAAACTATCTCAACCAGTTCAAACTAGAGAGAGGAACTCAGATAAACTGAATGCAATTACACACTGGAAATTAGCCAAGACACTGAAATTAGTGTATCTATTCTCTTCATAAGTGTAAGGGAGTTTGGGGGCTTAGTCTCCAAGCCATCAGGAGCATGAAGCAACACATACAGTCAAGTTTCATGTCTATGCATAACTCAAGACCCCAGGTTTCCGAAAGCCTGAGTGTCAGCAATTCTCACAAACTGTTACATTAACTAATAAACACTGACTTCTCTGCCAGCGCACCACCCTTTGAGCCTTAGAGCATTTGCAAAGGATTTGAAAAACAGTAAAAATAGTGACGCTTCAGTATTTCTCAGGGCTGAATTCTTCCTCCATGGCCCTCTTTGGAGATGCCCCAGGTAAGTGACGACCCAGAAGTTCCTGTTCAGCTGCTCAGAACTGAGGGAAGCAAAAGTGTTTCCTTGAAGGGGTCAAAGACCTGCTGTTCGAAATTTTAAAAGTTTAAGTCAGTAAAGACAGGCAACCGTTTTCTGTTCTTATTTTAAATACTAGGACTGGAGCTCTTGAAGAAAGCTCTACCTACTATCCTCAGTCCCCTCCTTAATGTCAATATCTTTATCTTTTTACCTTTTCTATGCCAATTTCTTCATTATTATTCTTAGTAGCTTTACTCTCCAAATAAAATCCAGTATTACGCAAAATTATATTTGGGAAATAGTGCATCCCCAAGAACACAGAAAGGCTATAAAATTAGT